TATTGATAATTTATTAAAAATTTTAAAATTTATTGTGAATGATAATCAAATTTAGATATTTTTTTGAAGATCATTCCGATTTTTTGGGTCTTTACGGAAATGGCTTTTTTCAAAGAAATGGAAGTATCACAAAATTTCATTAAGCAAATATAGGTATATTTCTAAGCTGAATAGATTCCTTGACTCAAATTACATGTAACTGCATTATTTTCTCAAAAATGACAAAAAAAAAATTCACTGATTTTCTCAGATGATGGTCCCATATTACTATCATTATTATTATTATTATATCACCATTGAATGATCGACATCCAGTTTATTAATCAAAAATTGTTGATCTAAAATTATTTCAAATTTTTTATTTCAAAAATAAACAAAAAAATGAAACAAAGATTCTCTGCACTTGACATAAGAGCTACTGTATACAATTTAAAAGAAAGGTTTTTAATCTATTTGGTTTTTAATCTATATACTGTTTACATTAAAACTAAAAATTATATATATATATATTTTTTTTTAATTAGAATTGTTGGATTAAGGTTGCAAAATATATATGACATCAATTCAAAAACATACCTGCTCAAATTTTCAAAGGTAATTTGTCATATGTTACAAAAATTAAAATTAAAATAATTATATTAAAACACTTGCTCTTCATTAAAAAAAGCCGGATCGAAAAGAATTACTATTGATTGAGTCCGGTATTCGAATTCACACAACACAATTTTCTCGTGACAAATCAAATGCTCCTTCGATGTTTTGTCTAAGGATTCGAAAATATTTGAAATCACGTAGATTAACAGATGTGAGACAATTGGGTGTTGACAGAATAATTGATTTTGAATTTGGTGCTGTTGGAGATGGTATCACATATCATATAATTGCAGAATTTTATGCTTCAGGAAATATCATTGTTACGGATAATGAGTACAGGATTTTAGCTTTACTTCGTATTGTCCAACCTAAAGAGAATGAGAGGATGGTAGTTGGTCAAATATATAATGTAAATGCGACGGCTCGTATGCAGGACCCTGTTTCAATAAAACGATTACAAGAAATATTTGATACTACAGAATCAAAAGAAACCAAAGAACAATTAAAAAAATTTTTGAATGCAAAATTAAATTATGGTCAGGCATTAACTGAACATGCTCTTCGCGTTTCAAAATTAGATCCTAATATGAAGGTTGGCACTATTATTGATAAATCATCATCATCACCATCGGAGGCTTCTCCTTATTTGACTGCATTGGAAGCTGGTTTTGCTGAAGCAGACAAAATTATTGAAGATTGTGCAAATAAAACACAAAAGGGGTATATTATTTTGCTTCAACATGTGGAAACCTTTAAAAATCCAAAAGATAATGATGATGATGGTGAAAAAACACAACAAGAAGATTTGGTAACATACAACGAATTTCATCCATTTTTGTTTGAACAGCATAAAACAAAAACATACAAAGAATTTGATTCTTTTGATTTAGCGGTAGACGAGTATTACTCTTCATTAGAGAGTCAAAAACTTATTTTGAAGCAAAGGAATCAAGAACACGCAGCAAAAGAAAAATTGGATGCAATTAAAAAAGAACAATATTCTCGTGTTGAAAGTCTTCAGAATGCTCAAATAAGTAATATCAAAAAGGCTAAATTAATTGAATCTAATATTGAATTGGTGGATCAAGCGATTTTAATTATTAGGAACGCAATTGCCAGCTCATTTGATTGGAAAGATTTGGAAAATTTAGTAGCCGAAGAGAAAAAACGTGATAACCCTATTGCTAATGTGATTGCTGGCTTCAAATTGGAGGTTAATATGATTACTTTATTATTAAGGTATATTGCTTTCCTTTTTTCTTTCTTTTATTTATATTTTTATATATGTGTATATATATTTAATTCCTTTTTTCCTTTGTAGTGAAAATACGCAATTAAATGATGATACATTTTATGATTCTTCGGATGATGATTTTGAAAAGGAAGATTCATCTGTAAATAAAATACATGAAAAAGTAGATGTTGATATATATTTGTCAGCATTCGCTAATGCTAGAAAATATTATGATGTGAAGAAACAATCAGCAATCAAACAAGAAAAAACATTAGCTGTCGCTGATAAAGTACATCTTTTTCTCTTCTTTTTTAAAAATAATTAAATGTAAAATAATTTTCTAATAAAATTACGATTTTTATTATTATTATTATTTAGGCCTTCAAAAGTGCTGAACAAAAAATTAGACAAGATTTAAAAGAATCAAAAATAACAATATCTATAAATAAAATAAGAAAACCATTTTGGTTTGAAAAGTTTCTTTGGTTTATTTCATCCGAGAATTATCTTGTTATCGCTGGACATGATGCTCAACAAAATGAAATATTGGTTAGAAGACACTTAAAAAAAGGCGACGTATACGTTCATGCTGATTTACACGGTGCAGCTTCAGTAATTGTGAAAAATAATAAAGAAGGTCAACAGATTCCGCCTAGTACATTATATCAAGCTGGTGTTATGTCTGTATGCCAAAGTAAAGCTTGGGATGCAAAGATTGTTATTAGTGCATATTGGGTGGATGCTGATCAGGTAATAAAAATTTTTTTTTTTTGTAATTACTTTATATAACATAATTTAAGTATTAATAAGAATATTATTGTTTTATCAGGTATCTAAAACTGCACCTACGGGTGAATATTTAACAACTGGTTCATTTATGATTCGTGGCAAAAAGAACTTTTTGCCACCTGTACAATTAATATATGGATTTGGATTGTTGTTTCGATTGGATGAACAAAGCATTCCAAGTCACTTAAATGAACGTCGACCACTGTTTGTTGAAGAAGATAATTTTCTTCAAAGTAATAATAAAGAAAAAAACGATGATGACGAAGAAGCAGAGGAAGAAGAGGAAGGAAAAAATAGTGATGAGAACAATGAGGATTATAATAAACAAAGAGACTTTGAAAATGATTTTTCAGAAGATGAATATGATGATGATGAAAATGAACAAGATAAAAAATCTTTAAATTCCGAATCAACCATTAAAAGTAATTTTAGTAGTAAAAATCAAGAAACAGATATAAACGGTATAACATGGGATAAATATAATTTAGATGAATATGGTGTTGATCAAGATGATATTATTGATTTTAATTATAATAATAATCCTCAAAAAAAGCAAGAAAATGAAGAAAAAACTGTAATTACTGATTTTCTTAAATGTTTTATTTTTTATTAAAATTTTTATTGATTATTAATTTACTCTTATTTATAAGAAAAAACATGTATCAGCCAAAGAAAGAAAACTATTGAAAAAACAAAAGCAGGGGACCAATTTAGAAAACTCGGATAATTCCATTGTAGTGGAAAATTTCAATATAGCAAACGAATCTAAAGGAAAAACTCAAAAAAACCAAACAACAGTAAGCTTTATTTATATACATGTGTGTTCAAATTTCTTGATTGATTTAAATCAGTCATCATTATGGTAATTTTTCTTTTTTTGATGTTTATAATAGCAGAATAAATCATCGGTACAATTACCACGTGGTAAAAAAGGCAAACTAAAAAAATTAAAGGAAAAATATGCAGATCAAGATGAAGAAGAAAGATTATTACGTATGGAGTTACTTGGTGTAAGTTATAAGATCTATTATGTTTTTTTAAAATATATATGTATAAATAAATATTTATTATAATTTATATTATTTATAGTCTAATAAAGCGCCCCAGATAAAAGGCAAAAAGGGTAAAAAAGAGGCCTTAAAACAAGCAACATATAAACCAATTAAGAATCCTAATAAAACAACAACAACAACAACGACAACAACAACAACAACAACAAACGCAAACAATATAGACAAGAATAATATTAAACAACAAGAAGAAAAAGAAGATATCAAAGTATCACATACACAGGAAATTGAAAATAAAGAACAAATTGCCGAAAATGGAAATCTTGTAGGAAATAAAGATGACGGGGAGGATGATGCAGAAGAAATAAAAAATCGAGAAAGCACTGTTGTGTTAGAAAATGAAATAATAGTAATTATATTTTATCATTACTATTATTTTTATTTTTATTTTTATAGCTTTGATTTTAACTTTTTGATTAATTATCCTTTTAAAAAAAAGGAAAATTTAGATAAATTAACAGGATCACCTTTACCCGATGATATATTACTTTTTGCCATTCCTGTTTGCGCACCATATATTGCATTACAAAAATATAAATATAAAGTAAAGTTAAAGCCTGGGTCTATGAAAACCGGAAAAGGTAAAAAGACAAATAACTTGAGATTTTAATTTATCTAGTAAAATTATTAATAATTATTATAATTATAATTTTTTTTTTTTTTAGCTTGCAAAACAGCTATAAACTTTTTTCAAAATGATTCAAACATAACACCACATGAAAAAGAGTTAATAAAATGTATACCAGACACAGAAATGCTTTCTGTCATGTTGGGTAAATGCACAGTCTCTGCACCAAATATTGAGCAATCCAAAAAAGCCTTCAAAAAAGCAAAAAAACAAAAACAACAGCAAAAAAATGAATAATTTACAATTTATAATTTATGTATAATTCTAATTTATTATAATTGTATATTTAAAAAAGTTATTATTTAAATAAATGATAATTCGTTGTATTATTTCATCAATCATGATTTTTTCAAAAGAATTGTTATACAAATAAATTTATTCTCAACCCAAAAATTGAAAATAAGATCTGCATCTCGAAATTTTACTAAATGCGTATGACAAAAATTATTCTAAGTGAAGAGTTGTATATAGTGGTGATATTAACTCAAAAGACTGACTTATAGGATCACATAGGATAATGTGGGTTACTTCTATTACTCTCTTCAAAATAGGTACTTATCAAAGAATCTATAGTCAAGCTAAGCATTATCAGTAATGGAAATAAATATACAATCAAGATAAATTATTATGAAAATAACAGTTATATTATAATTATTGCTATATTGGCATTATTATTATAAATTTTTTGCTATATAAAAGATTAAAATACTCTAAACAAAAGAGAAAAAAACCAATTCTAAAAAAAAAAACATTTGGATGAAAATACTAATATTAATACCTAATCCAACCAAACCATAAAGACTAATCATTATTACATATTTATTAAAAGAAAAAAACAAATAATTATTAAAACGATGAATTTAAGCCAATAATAATTAATATCCTAACCATTAGAACCCTAGTTAATAACGATTATACTAGACTCCAAAAAGCCAATTGACTAATACCTTCTTTTGCTTCCTTTTTGGTAGGATGGAATAATCCTTTAAAATGACGATCATTAATTGACAATATTGCACAAAAACCATCTCCATCTACTTTTTTATGATAAACATATTGAGGTATTGGCCAGGATTTCTTAGCTGCCAACTCATATATCAATGAAGTAAATGTCTTGTTTGAATGTAATGATAAATTCCCCATTGGATCCTTCGTTGGGTCCTTCTTCATTGGGTTCTCAATTGGATTCTTCTTTGGATTGTTCTTGAATTTCTTCTTTTGATTCTTCTTGCGATTCTTAATTGGATTCTCCTTTCGATTCTCCATTAGATCCTTCATTTGATTCTTTGGATTTTTCTTTGGATCCTTATTTTGTAATGATGGATTGGTTGTAGTTGGTGCAGATCCAGGATTATGTAGAAATGCTGAGTGAGGAAATGGTACAAACGAACTTCCTCCTGAAGGAAATGGTGCAGATAATACTGGTGAGTGATATTGTGCAAATGGTACTGCTGGTGAAGGATATTGTGCAGATGGCACCGCTGGTGAAGGATATTGTGCTGGTGAAGAATATTGTACAGATGGTACTGCTGGTGAAGAATATTGTACAGATGGTACTGCTGGTGAAGGATATTGTGCAGATGGCACTGCTGGTGAAGGATATTGTGCAGATGGCACTGCTGGTGAAGGATATTGTGCAGATGGCACTGCTGGTAAAGGACATTGCACAGCCTGTTTTGGTCCTGGTGTTTTATTCATCAAATCATTGATTTCTGCTTGTTCTTCGATTGGTAAACCGATATTGTTGATAACATTTTTATAACATTTTATTGGTGGAACTGTTTTAATATCTTCTTTTAACATCACTATTCCAATCGATTTCTTATAATCAAAATCCTTCTGAATAATTATTTTCATTTCAATATTCATGATTTCCTCATACAAAATTCTAAATGCGATGTGTGCCACATGATCTTTGGCAATATTAAAATCGTTAGAAATAACAGATGGATTGAATCTCCTTCTACCAATATCAACTGCAATATATTGGCCATATTTAAAATCATTCTGCACTCCTTTAGGAAAAGTTAAACATACATAATTTGGCTGTCCTAATTGATATCTTAGTGCGAGTTCATTGAGTAGAATACTTGGTAGCATTCTAAACTTTTCCCCACTAAACCATTGTTTAACCGCAGGTATCATTTCTGACCAATGTAATTCTTTAGAGATACTACGAATATTATTTCCAAAAATTTGTTTCCTGGGTTGTCGTTTTAAATTTTCCGACGCGAGCCGCATAACACACGTAACTTCCTCCTTATATTTTTTTTGCAGTTCATTAAGTGCCATTTGTGATGCATCATTTTTGGCTTCACGTTTTGTTCTAAAGGTTCCAGATGTCCAACTTTGATCATCATATTTAACAGTGCAATAATGATTATTTTCGAGGCTTCCGAATTCATATTGAGGAAGCATTCTAATCTTCAATTTTAATCGTTGATCATGTAACATCTTGAGTAATTCAGTTGGTACTGGCATTTTCTTTTCTGTTTCCCCACTCATTTTTGCTTCCTCGCTTATTTTTGTTTCTCGCTTATTTTTGTTATTTTTGTTATTTTTGTTTCCTATTTTTTGCTTCACAAATTTTTTGTTATTGTGTGCTGTACCACGTATTATCAACACATGTAATATAGATTTTATTGGAAACCAATGTTTCGTAACACGGTCAGGAGATATTACCATATATGGAACATACTAAATACCGTAATGATCGACGGTATGAAAAATTTTAGAATAAATTCTGATTGGCTAAATTCAACCAGAGTTAATACCCTGTAATGATCGACATTATGAAAATTGGCTAAATTCTGTGCATTGTAATAATCTTTGATGGAAAAAAAACATGGTGGGAGCTTTATTAATCGGTCATACGACTTCCAAAATTATAGAATATGTGGATTTTTAACTTTTCTACAAGCTTATCCAAGATTAAGCAATGTCAGAGATGCTATTTTTCAACTAATACTATTATATGAGACATACCGCAACAAAACCAGACAAAGTGAACATTATAATTGTGACTGCAAATTACAAGCTTAGTTGTGATCCAAAAGCTCTTTTGGCATCCCAAAATGTTTTGAGAAATGAACTTGCACTAACTTAAATTTAAACAAATTACCAACCTAAATTGATTTTGGGTAGTGTCAATTCACAACACAGACATCAGGGAATTATTTTAGTATTAGTATAAACATGTGTAATACTTATAGTACTGATGTAAGTACAGTATGTCATTATTATAGAGTGAAAACTGTTATAGAAAAGGCAGTTATAGAAAGTATGAACCAAGAACTTGAGCCCAATTAAAATTATTTTATCTGTTTCATATTAATATACTTACACTATATAATGGACTTTTTTCACTAGAACAGAAAGACCATTATAGAGATATTAAGCTTTTTATTATTGAACTTACAGTTGACACATACAAATTCTTTTTCATAATAATAATTTGTAACAATCCCAGAATTATTGGTCACAAAAAAAAATAATTCTATTCGAGATTAAGCAATTAATTTTATTACCATATTTGATAATCTAGAAAAATTTATCTTTAAATTTACTATTACTAATTTGGCAATCGGGATTGCGTTTTATCATGATAATATTAATATCATTATTGTTATCATTGATATTTTTATTAGGATTTTGGTTGTAATACCATTATCTATATTATTATCTTGTATTGTCAAATATAATTGCATCATCACCATTATTTTTATATTTATTTCCATCTAAGGAGGTTATCTTTAAATATTATGATTGTACTTTTTGGGAAGTCTATAAGCTCCCATACAATTTATTTATTATTACCATTGTGATTCATATTTGTATTTTTAATTTATTATTTAAAGAATCTAGATTCAAATGAAATAAAGATAACTTTTGTAATTTTACAATTAAATTTAACATTGTTAAATAATTAGTGATAATTATTTGATTTACATAATTTTTACAGGGATATAAATGTTGATAATTTCTAAAAAACCTTGATTGATGTAAATCAAAAAATTTATCACAAGGATGTAAAATTGGTCATGTTAGTAAATTTTTAATGAATTTTTTGAGAAGTTATTAAATTGAATAAATTTTGGACTTTAAAAAATTTTTTTTAATTTACACATGTATGATAAGCAAACTAATTATGAATTATTAGAATTATTAACTGCAATACAAATTTTATTTTTTTTATTTATATAACAAATATATAATCATTTTCCAACTGCAATATATAAGAAATTTTTTAATCAAATATATATAAATTTAATTTTTTTTTTAAAATAAATAAATGTAAATTTCTCTAATAAATATCATTTATTTTTTGAGTGAAAAAAGTTCAATATTGTACAGTTTCTCCCTCAATAAACTCCATTATAATCATATTCCATCCATTAATTACCGTTTTGCTTGAAAAGAGAATTTGTGGTACAAGTTCCTTTCCAGAACATAGTTTTTGAGCATCCATGTCATATTTCTGAATTAGTTTCACAACAATTGAGCATTTATCATTAGTTGTAGCCCTCCACATGAATTTTGTGTTGTCATTTGTAAACCAGCCATTGTAAACAAATGATGCAATCCTTCCTTCATTTTCTTGATAACTACAAGGAAAAGGGAAAAACCATTGATAATCCAGATTATTGGATGGCCCAGGGTTGGCAAATGTGCGGTCCATTGATGGTCTATTGGTGGTCCATTGGGTCCATTAATGTAACACTTTAACCATATTTAGTCAATTTGCCAACCCTGGGATGGTCTTAAAGATTCATAAAAACCCTTCAAATGGTCAAAAGCAAGGCGTAGTGACTCAAGTAGTTGTGCAATTTTTCAAAAGTAGCTGTGATCATTAAATTGTATTAAAGGTATAAAAGGAGTATATAAGAGGATCAATAATTCCCTTCTCAATATAGACTGCGCCAGAATGCAAACCCAAGGACCAGCAACAGCAACAATAATTGATGGACAATTACAACAAAGTCGGAAGCTTTTGAAAGTATCTTGCACCCAGTGCCAAACATATGATAATGCCCCCTGTATAGTAGGATCAGAAGCTCCAGTCCCAATTAAGGTTGTGGGCGAAACCTCCTTAGTAATTGCTGAAACCATGGCAAAACTATATTAAATCTTATCAAAAATCCTGTTGAAACTATGCCAAAATAGCAAAACCTCAATAGCAAAACCTCAAAATGCAAAACTCTGTCAAAACTCTAGTAAACAATTAATGTGTAACTTGCCGAAACCCTGCTGATTGATTTCCGGAGGAGTTTTGGCAAGCAACCTTAGTCCCAATTTCATTCTTTGCTTCCAGCAGAACTACCATTGCAACTTCACGTAATGATTCAACAGGTACTGTTACTACACCATTAGGAGTTGTTTCATCTTCATTCTTGACCTGTTGTAGAGGCCAAAACAAGTCCTTCAAATGATTTTGCAACATTTTGAGACATCCCTTTTCAATATTATAATGTTCTGACATATCTTTCACAAGAGGGTTCACTAACTCTAAGACTTTCTTTGATATAAGTAGATCTTCATTCTCAAAATTAGAAATAAAATCCTGGAATACAGCATGATAAAAGACAACAGGTGGCCCAAGGCAATCATAAGGATGATGATTTAAAACGGTTTGCAAGTTTTGAACCTCATTAAAAAATATTGAATGCTGCGCAGCCTTTGATGGGGTGGAATTCTCAACACTCTTTTGATGTTCTCATTTTGAGCATTGATAATTTCACATAATTTTCTAGTACTGTAAGTTATGTTGGAAGATAACTGAGTTTCAGTTTCTTTAGGATGCCAACTCCTATGACACCATTAATTCTAATTAATGGATTAGAAGATTTCAATACACCATTCTTTGATGAAAATAAACATTTGATTGGACAAATTTCAGCACTTTTTGCTCAAAAGGATGGGTTTATTTTAAATGAACATCCAAATGAGTCTTGTCAGCATTCACATGTAAATATACATGAATGTGAGAAAAGAAAAATAAATCATGAGGAATTCATGGTTTAATGGGCAAATTTATATATATCTACAAATAATTTGACTTTATGTTCTAAAAAAGTTCATTTTAACAGGATTTCATGATTAATGGGTTTCAGATTAATGATGGGGTTGACTATGTATTCAAACATCTGGTGATGGAGTTAAGTAAGCATTACATTGGGGTGTGAGATGCCCTAATTAAATCAAAAATTAAGTGATGTAACATAATGCCGATCAATAACAAACTTTTTTTTAAAAAAATACGAGTATATATAAAAACTAT